AAAAAAAAAAAAAAAAAAAAAAAAAAAAAAAAAAAAAGCCCAAACAAACAAACAAACAAACAAAATGTGTCAGCCTATGCTCTAGTTCATCAGCTCTTAGTTTTTATTGAAAATTCAGTGACATCTTATCCACATCTGGCCTCATTCAGAAGGGTGAATTCTTCCTGGCTGAGAATGTTCACAGGTGGCTTAGGGGACGATCTGCAGGCCTGGTTGTGGTCAGGCATTCTGGCATCACAAGAACAGCTTCAGAGAGTGTGAAAAACCTCTGCTTCCATCCCCTTCATTGCCCACAGAACTGGCCTTGGTTGTAACACACAAAACCAACCCTGGATTACACACCAGTAGACCTTGCTTCTTTCTTGTCTGTGTTTTGTGATCTTGGCCAAGTTGTTTCACTCCTCTAGGCCTTAGTTCCCTCAGGTGTCAAAGGAAAAGTCAGGAATACATGATTACTTAAGGAGCTGTCTGGCTTAAGTTTCTGTGATTCATTCTGGGGTACAGAATTTGTTTCTGGGGCTGAGGAACAAGGGGGATTATGATTTATCTGTTGATCAAGACTTCTGAATCTACTCAGCCACCCAGAGAGGTCTGTGGTGGTTAATTTAGATAACTCCAAGCTCCAAAAGCTGGAATTACCCAGATTACCACGGTGGATATTTGGCATTTGAACAAAAAAGTCTGTCACGCATCAGTCTCTGGCCCTGATCCTGGGCAGCCATCTTGATCTGCCCAGATGCCGCACTGGCTGCTTAAGAGTGTGGATGTGTACAGTTGTGTCCATAAGAGCTTGGTGGAACACACCAGACCCCAGAGGCTTGGAGGAACATTCAGGGAGATCATCTGTCCCACGGAAAACAATGTGAAGTTTGTATGAAACAAATACGACCTGTCAGGGACATAGGCCACTTTTAAATTTGTGTTGCTTTTTTTTTATAAAATGAAAATAAATATGAAGAAAGAAATAAAAATCATCCCCAAACCCCACTCTGCAGAGATGACCCCATTAACAACTTGCTAAACTCTAGTGCCCATAGACACTCACAATTTTTTAATATAAAGGCACTATATGTCCTGCCTTATCTTTTTATCTATCAAAATGGTCCTGGTGAAGATTTTTCTATGGCTGTGAATGTAGATTTCCAACATTGTTTTTAACAGTTGCATATATTTTATTAAATATACCATAATTCTCTGGCACAATTATATCTTGATGATTTTCAACGTTTTGAAAATGTATTTATTGGCTGCACTGTGACAACTATCTTTGGGTTTGCATTTGTTGTTCGATGGACATTAAATTCCTTGAAAATCAAGCAGTCAAAGTGATATAGGAAATGACATCAGGACCAGCAAATGATATAAGGGAAATATTATAACTCCCAACCTGTTAGATGTCAGATATGACAAGTTCATGTTCTCTAAATTTGAAAAATGAATTCTAAGAACAATACAGGTTAAGAGTAGGGAATATTTATTGAGAAGATAGATACAACTCCTGAGAGACAGGAGGGGGTCCCACTTCTCAGGGAAAGTTCCATAGAGTACAACCATGTGAGCACAACGTGTGTTACAGCCATGATCAACCAATAAGATTATAAGTATAGTCACTTAGGTAACATTGATCCAATGGGGAAGAAAGTCGTGTAACAAGTTTACATGGAAGCAACAAAGAACTTTTCAGGAAGGGATGAATCCAAAGGCCTTGCCCTCTAGAGGGCCCAGACCTGTCCGATTGTCTATAATATTCCTACATAATTTAGCTGTCTATAACAAAAGATGCTCATGAAGTGTTGCAATGTATTGGGTCAAGCTCCCTTCAGAAAATGTGTGATACTTTACATCCACCAACAGTAGAGGGGGGTAACCGACCCCTCCTCTAGCTACACTGTCAATATTTAAAGTTTTGGCCTGATAGGTCAGATAGAGGTTTTGTTGTTGTGTTGATTTGCACTTCCTAGATTGATTTATTTTTTAATGGCACCACCTAGGGCTAAATAGAGGCAATGATGATACCATTGACTGAGGCCTTGTTGCTATAGGAGCCTCTCCAACTGGGACCCCAGGGGATCAGCACAGAGTCTGATAAATCCGTGAGGACATAACACTCACTGAGGACTGATTTATGGCCACACTAGTGACTCCTGGGAATGGCATTGCTGAAGGGCATATGACATGGTTCCGGTCATAAAGGAGTTTGGATGAGAGAGATGACTGTTGTCCTGTAACCACAAGGCTATAGAGAGAATGCCCATGCTGTGTTGATAGTCCTGCTCTTGGCTGGATCCAGCTAATCGAACCACACTTGACCTCAACTGAATCTTCCCATTTCTCTGCCTCTTGGCACTGGAATACAGCTTCACTTCAGCCAGTGCAGCCAAGAAGCACTTGAGCAAAGTCAGAAAATGCTCCATGTTGCCCATGACCTACCACAAGGGTGAATCGGAAGCCTCTGGGGACAATGGCAAAGAGGCTGAGTGTGTGGAGGGCCAACTCATCCCTGTCACCTCCTCTGTGGCCTCTTGCCACAGTGACCAGCTGGGGAGGGACGGCCACAGCAAGGAGCTGCTCTGTCCAGGTCTGGCGCTCTGTGGTTTCCTGCCTTGCTACACGGCCGTTACTCAGTGGTGATGATTCATGGCATTTGGAAAGTGTAGCTGTGTTCTGAACAGGGAAGTGAAAAATGACACAGCCAAGGTCAGTGCAGGACAGGACAGGATAGGGTTTGTTACAAGACATGTGCTTTCCTCTGGAAAATGCAGCTGTGGGGACCCCTGGGACTTTGGGCTTGAGATATATGCTGCAGAGGGGGCCATCCTTTGTTGGCCGCCCTTTGCGGTCTGAGCTATTCCAAGCATCAGTCACTGATTTGTCCCTCGGAAGTGCTGCTGGTCTTGGCTGGGCCAAGGAGAGAGAAGGAAGTGGATGGTGATTCAGCGGGTGTTGCTTCCTCTCTGACTCAGGACTACATCCATTTCTGAGGGTGGTGCCAGAGGGCGCTGTGTGGCTTTAGCTAATTCTTTAAATTTGGAGTCCAAATGGAGTCTCTGACCCCATGGCTGCTGGCTGGCCCTTGACCCCTTTGATGAGTAAGAGGTTGAAGCTGCATCTGTGCTTGCTCCTCAGTGGACTGGCACTTCCATCTGGAGTGCTTGCTGGAGTTCCGGGACAGAGAGACAAGTAGTGACTGAAGTCTCTGGATCTGTGCCCATCTCAAAACACCCTTGTCTTGAGAGTCTCTGGGCAGAGAGGCAGTGAACCTGCATTCCTGGGGTCCATGTGCAACACATAGCCACATTCCTGGGGGAAGAGTCTGGAGGGTCTGTTTCAGAGTTATTGCTGGCACACTGTCCCTGCTGCCCCTGAAGCCTCCTCCCTAGTTGTTCAGATCACCGCCTCTGCCTGACAGTGTTTAGTGTTCCAAGTGCACCTCATAATGACTTTGAAAAACCTCATCCCATGGCCTCCATCACATCACCTCGGTAATACTGACCTTTCAGGTGCACTCTTTTCAGCTCCCCATTCTCCCATCCCCTCCCACTGTCATGGCCAGGGCAGAGGGAGAGTTGCTGGTCACCTTAAAGTGTGACTCTTGTGAAACACATGCAAGCCTCGCCAGCGGGAGCTTCTGCAAGGGGGCTTTGTGCGGCTCAGGACCCCCCCACCTCCCCAGTGCTCCCTTCCACCTCCGTCTCCTCCAAGCCCAGATCTCACTCTCCAAAGCAGCTTCCTCAACCTGCTGGGGAACTGTGTGAGGGGAGCTGTGCTTATGGCACCATGCCCTCGATGCCAGAGGGACTGACGGTTCAATAGTCCTCTTAGAGGCCGTAATGGTCTTTTCAGGGGCCAGGTGAGCATCATTGGCTCTATCATAGTGGTTGGGTGGGGCTGGGGAGGGCAGAGCTGAGCTGATGGCTATCATGCTGGGTCTCTACGATTCGACAAAGGCCTCTGACCTGGGTGCAGTGGCAGTGGGCAGGAAGGCACTTCAAAAAGCCCTGT